TCTTCAAAAATATTGTTACCTTGGCCACTTTTAGCCCCGGTCAGGCTCACGTGATCTACGCTTTACCAGGAAATTGGCAAAAGTGTTACCTGTGCTTTCCATAGCTCCTCATTTTAAATGGCTAGCGATAGACAAAGTATACAAGCAATTTGTTTGAACCATGAGGATGACTTTCCATGCAATCAAAATGCATAAACATCAGAAAAAAAATCATTGTTTTTAAGGAGGATTGTTCATATCAGTATTTTAGCTGTATTTAAAACTTTGTCCTTCACCAATTAGCCTGCAATTAAAGTCCTAGATGCTGCATTTTTGGTGTGATATAAAATGCATGTTAACACAATACACATTAAGGCATAGATTCTGGTGAAGCCCTTAATGTCTGGAATGGACCTGGACTATGTAGAACACTGGCAGAAACCAGTATAATTTATTTATAACCCATTCATTTTGAACTGCTTTCCTTCAAGTCAAAAATGATTGCATTATATTCAATGAAGAAAAGTCCATGTAAAAATTAGGGATGCACCAATCCTGGTTTTCAGTATCGAGTACCGATATATTTTTTTATTAGTACTCGCAGATACCGAACACCGATACCGTATGTCCTATTTAGAAGCTGGGCGGTGTGTAATGACTCGGCCCCTGGCTTCCCAATTAGCCAGGAAGCTGTGTGTGTGTGTGTGTGTGTGTGTGTGTGTGTGTGTGTGTGTGTGTGTGTGTGAGTGTGTGTGAGTGTGTGTGAGTGTGTGTGAGTGTGCGCAATTTTTATTTTCAGGTAACAGCTGTTTTACAACAAATTAGCAAGAGAAGTTTGGAAAATGTGTATTTTGATGAAGCGTTTCCGTCAAGTTTTGGAACATCACTTCTAACAGTTTTTCTGTAAATCATGGCTTAAAAAAGACACATGGGATACTAATAATGAAGATTACATTTTCTGGAGATGAAGTTTATACATTCAGCCATGAAAGTGAATGTCCACCACAGTTAAGCAGGTAACATTTGGCTAAAGGTGGAGCAAAGGAAAGCCTATGCAGACATCCCAAGCATGAAAACATAATGATGGCCTGAGTAGCACTGCAGAATGCAGGATTACAATGGTTTGTCTAACATGCCCCAAACAATAAGTCGCGTGGTTTGTATCATTTTAATGTCACATCAAGTATGATTAACACATTCTTATAGACTGTATACATAATTGTAAAGTTAAAACAATTGTATATGCAACTTTTAAATAAATAATTATAAAAAGGAGTGCATTTTGTGGTTAGAAGTGTACCTGTCTCTTACGGGGTACAGTGGTTTTGTGAGTCGACGTAACATTAGGTTTACAATTCCTTATGAACCAGTGACTTTACACTGATGTTCTGATATAAAAGATAATTAAGAGGCTGCATTGTCATGAACATTCATTTTCCCTATAAAAACAGCCATTTCAACTTGGTGTAGGAGACAGATGCACTCTAATCATAATTAGGCAGAAGACACCAGACCTTCCAGCCATTAGCCAGACCAAAAATTGTAGCTTAACAATCATAAATTAATTTCTTGCTACCGCTGTGCATAAGGCTGGGGTCACAAAAGAGCTTTCAAAGCTTGACATTAGCCTGTCAGATTTAGACTGTGGTTCTCTGCAGTAAAACAAATTGCAATTTATTGATTTCATTAAACTGCAAAGCAGCGCTGGTTTACACATTTCTGCAAGCTGTATTTGTGGTTAATACATGACTTTCCAATGAGTGGTAAAAGCACAAAAATGTATGTACAGTACTGTGCAAAAGTTTTACGCTGTAAAGTAAGAAATAAAAGTAATAGTTTATTTTAATCAACTAACAAAATGGAAAGTAAATGTACAGAAGAGAAATCCAAATCAAATCAATATTTGGTGTTCCAGGACTCGTTGTTCTTCTTTACGCTGAAGATAGTTCCTAATGACATTGGTTGTATGTTTGGGGTCATTGTCCTGCTGCAGAATACATTTGGGGCCAATCACACACCCCCCTGATGGTATGGCATAATGGATAAGTATCTGCTTGTATTTCTCAGCATTGAGGACACCATTGATCCTGACCAAATCTCCAACTCCATTGGCAGAAATACAGCCCTACTCATTATTGTACCACTCTCTAGCAATTTGGCAAACAAACTGCCTCCTGCTACAGTCAAATATTTCACATTTTGACTCATCAGTCCAGAGCACCTGCTGCCATTTTTCTGCACTCCAGTTCCTATGTTTTCGTGAACAGTTGAGTTGCTTAGCCTTGTTTCCACATCAGAAGTATGGCGTATTGGCCACAAGGCCACAGAAAAATGGCAGCAGGTGTTCTGGACTGATGAGTCAAAATGTGAAATATTTGACTGTAGCAGGAGGCCATTTGTTCAGTGAAGAGCTGGAGAGCGATACAGTAATGATTGCCTGCAGCAACAGTGAAGCATGGTGGAGGTTCCTTGCAAGTCTAGGGCTGCATTTCTGCCAATGGAGTTGGAGATTTGGTCATGATCAATGGTGTCCTCAATGCTGAGAAATACAAGCAGATACTTATCCATCATGCCATACCATCAGGGAGGCGTGTGATTGACCCCAAATGTATTCTGCAGCAGGACAACAACAACCCCAAACATACAGCCAATGTCATTAAGCGTAAAGAAGAACAATGAGTCCTGGAAGTGATGGTTTGGCCCCCACAGAGCCGTGATCTCCAAATCATCGAGTCGGTCTGGGATTACATGAAGAGACAGAGGCAGCCTACATCCACAGAAGATCTGTGATTAGTTCTCCAAGATGATTAGAATAACCTACCTGCCGAGTTCCTTCAAAAACTGTGTCCAAGTGTACCTAGAAGAATTGATGCTGGTTTGAAGGCAAACGGTGGTCACACCAAATATTGATTTGATTTGGATTTCTCTTCTGTTTATTTTTATCAATTAACAAAATGGAAAGTAAATGAACTATTAACACTTTTATTCCTGAAAGCATTCTTACTTTGCAGCATTTTTTTCACACCTGCCTGTTGTAGCACACATACTAAATATGCATTACTGCATTCCCCTTGCAGTGCCCCTGAGTTCCTATTTTTCCCCATCATTTGCTCTGATGAATCTGCAGGGTGATTGTCAAATTACAAAATGGCGGGCATGAAAAGCTCTCCACCTTGATTTTTAATGTAAAATGGGTTATTGTGCTTATGGCTAGGATCACATGAGAGCTTTTTGTGCCTGAGATCCTAGAGATCTCCCACACAGCAATGTCTGACAGTATCAGAGCATTAATAACTCATTTTAACTGCAAAGATCAGTAACTCAACAAGGAATGAAGTCAATTTAAAAATCACTAAGATTACAAGCTCTTTTGTGACACTGCACAGAGGTGATTGCCACTTTATCTTCTTTGAAGCCCACCACACAGTAACAGTGGTCTACCCTTCCCACGGCTGCCGAGTTTTCCCAATGTTAGGAGATGCATTCCAGATTTTACCTGGAGGTGAAGCCTACTGATGTAGTTCCTATTGATATAAGATTGACAATATCATGTAACAATGTGCTAAAAACGGATCAATGTATGCAACAGGAAAAGGGTCTGGCAGCTGTTGGCTTGGGAGCAAAGGCAGATGAGAGATTTCCATTATAAATGGGAATCCTCTCTAACTACACAGCACAATAATACATAGAAGTACCCAAGTCACTTCACAGTTCTTCAATTTCTTCTCATGTTACAATACTAAGACATGCATCTTGCCGCCCTTAATACACAATACACTCACAAGGATCATGCCCTTGGTTTTCTAGCACTGGACAGCTGGAATAATACACAAACGCACAGTGAAGTAAATATGTCTACTTCATTACTAATATGATATAGTATCCAATGGGTGAATTATCGGACACTTTGGTAAATGAGGCTGAAGTGCTTTGTAGGATTCCTGCTTATGCGTTCATATCTTTTGACCACAGAGACTCCTATAATAATGTAAACAATCATTGTGAACACCCAAGGAGCTGATTAATGGCACTCCATCCAAATGTACCACCCTTGGCTCCTTATGTTTCATAGAAAGCACCAGCTTTTAGTATAAGTATGGCCAGGTAGCAAATTACAGTCATATAAGTATTAAAAGGACAGCAATGGACTTGAGCGCTTTTTGTGGAAGGGGAAAACATACCATTGATAGCCTACAATGAGACCTTTTCACTTATCTAGAATCAGCTACTACAATCCAAGACACCTGATGGAACAGACATCAACGGTATGTTTTATAAAGTGAAGTGACCAGCATACATATTATAAATGACTGCAGAGTAACCTATATAGACTAAGGGTGAATTATGACTGGAAAATATAGATATGTTATTTCCCCATTTAATTTTCAATAAGATGGCAAAACTTTAAGAGTAATTCAAAGTGCAATGATGTATAGTCAGGATTTCTGCTCGATGTGTGACAAGGTTGGCTGCCTGGTACAAAAGTTAACATGTTGCAGCACATGCAAAACTGCACCAATTCACATCTATGGTGAACAAAGGCTGTCATGTACACAGCATAGGTCAGCCCTGATGCACTTGAGTCAATGAAATCTCTACAATAGTCCTTGTGGGGAAACTGTGAAGCGTTGCTTGTGCAAGATTACCCCCATTTAGCTCAAAAGTGTATGGGGGCAGCCTGATGTTCAATTACATGTGTCCCAGTACTCAAACTCCCTTTCTTCTGATTACCCATAGATATTACCGGTACTCACGACAAGAAATCATAGATCTTTTTCATTATCTTAACATACTTAGGCTACTGAAAGATAATTCCTGATTGGTTCTTGTTAGTCACTGCATACTGTGCTTTGCCTTTATTAAATATAAGCCTTAAAAGTATTTTGTTTGGGGTTTGAACCATGTCAGGTTTTGTGCTCTAGGTACTTGGCGTGTCATTGCTAGCTATAGTGAGACTGAAGCTAGATGTACACACTGTTAATAGACAAAGTATATGATTATAGCCCACAAAGGGTGTTGTGCTTTCTGTTGCATCGCTGTTTTTTTTTTGGTTCTGCAACTTTTGTGCTGGTTGATACGTTTTAAAACCTATACATTCTAACACAATGTTCTAGGCACCATAAGTTCAATGGATTTGATATGTATGTTTATCCTTGGTTAACCACTGGGTCATGTTACTAAGGCGGTACTATTGCTGCAGCTTAAACTGGTACGTGCTTGTTTTCCACTGAGTGATGTCACAGTTCATCATTGTGCGCTCTGTGAAGCTCACATGTCCTTCATTATCAATGAGTACAATGGTATTGGTCCTAGAACAGAAGAGGGAACATTATTATACAAGTACAGTGATTCAATGGTGTTTAAACAATTATAACAGGAAGAAAAAGCAATTTTCCATTTCATACTGCGATGGCAACCAAATTAATAATGAACAGAATCTAAGTTCTTCCAAACAATTTGTCACTGGCTGAGTTAATACATTTGCCTACTCCACGGTGAGGAATCACATGAGAAATAGATTAAGGGGCATTCCACTTTCTGCAAGCATGGAGAAAATCAGTTCCACCAAACCCGTGTAATCAAATATTTCCTCTCAAACTACACCGTTGTCTCAGTGTCTGGAGTTTATGTTTCTGGCTGACTTTCCTTAATACAATCTGTACTTATCAAACAACATTTTAGGAGCAAAAACATGCACAACTGTCAACATAATGAAAAGGTGGCAAAAGAAGCAACAAAAAAAAGAAAAATTTTGAAGCAAAGAAAAAGGATTACATGAGAACATCAAATGAATCTACGGGGAATACAAGAGGTGAAAACCGAACACAATGTGAAACTGAAGTACTCAGCCTGAAACTGGGTAGAGAATGCCCCGACAAAGCAGCTAAGCAGGTCAAATAACACTGAGAGATGCATGGCACCATGGACAGCTCTTCCCTGTCTGGTCCCAACACAAGTGTTCTTTTGATCAATTTTATCTATTTCCCTCTATGTATTCAGCTAAAGGAAACCTATACTGAAAGAATAAGGCAAGCTGCTATTGCTGACCGTCTTCTGAAAATGCTAGCTGTCTGGGCTCAGTACTTTGAATCACTGACTCAAAACATGCAGAAAGCAAGGGATGACAGAACATGTGATCAGCAACTCGGAAAGAGCTGGATAAGCATGACAGACAGCCAACTAGCATTTTCAGTAGGAGGTCAGCAATGACAGTCCATGTATTTCTCTCAGCACAGGTTTTTCTTTTATAAAATCATTTAATAACCCTTATGCTTTTCCTCAGCTTTTATTCTTTGTTCTCTTCTACCTTTCCTCATTAATATGTTTCAGTCATTGCATTAAGGAAACTTCTAGCAGACTTCACCCTGACTACAGTATTATGAGAGATGCTTTTTTAATACTGTTTTTTGTAATCAATTTTAAAAAGTGTTTTCAAATCTTGTTCATCCGTTAGAGTCTGTAAAAATGCCTAAAATTAATCTATCAGAACAGCAAAAGTTAAAATGGTTTATATATCACCCCTTTCCTAAAACAGAGCTCTCGTGTATACAATGTACATATATGGGCTATATCTGGAAGAAGTTCAGTGGGTTAGAAATGGCCACGTCACAAGGGTGTTCCATCCTTCTTCTACTGATTAGCTAACCTACTCTTCAAGGTAATACACTAGCAGGGTTATTCACAAAAGGGTGAAGAGTTTGGAGAAGGCAGGAGAAGTGAACAATCTAGGACAACATAGCTGAACTGGAAAGTGAGCTGAATTGGAGAATGTTTCCAAATCAACTATGTTGTCCTAGATTGTTCAGTTCTCCGGCCTTCTCCAAACTCTTCACCCTTTTGTGAATAACCCTTGTATATGTATCCCAGACTCCAGGAGTGCGCCTAGTGAGAGACGAGTCAACTGAAATATTCAAATACATTTAGAAGAAAGATATCTTCATGCTTAATTAGTTCTACTCATATCACCCCTGTACGTCCTCAAATTGCAAACTCAGATTAATGATAACACATGACAGATTTTTGTTCTTTGACAGAAATAAATTGATACTCCTACAGATCTTCTATATAACTATGTTGTCTCAAAGGAAGATACATACTTGGGGATAATATACTAAAAGGTATTCCAGCCAAGTGTAGATGAATGTGCTGAAAGCACACAATAAAAGTAGAATTAAAGTCTCAATTTTTTTGCATACAACTACTGCAAGTAAGGAGTAGATATATGCCACAACATTAAAAAAAAAGTGCCCAAATACAAAATACTTACCTCTGTCTGCACTGATTGCAGTACACAGCTGCTCCAGATTTTGTCTGCTCCAGTTTTGATAAATTCTGCCCTGTGTCAGTAAATGCACGCAGCCGGACAGACTCCGTGGGACACAGAAGTCTGCGCTGGATTAGAGAACAGCACCAGCCCTGGAGGGACTGCTGGAAACAGATGGGAGGAAGATGATCGCAGCAAGAGGCATCACATAACGTAAGTATTAAAAGCAGAATTACAATGGGGGGAGAGAAAAAAAGCGCAACTTTAATGTCACTTTCAGCTTGGCTGCTTGTTTCTCTAAAGTACTGGTGAAGCATAACAAACCACCCTTCTAGAGGTCATAGCTTATTCTTGTGGTATGATAACTATACCTTGTTCCATAGCCTGGGCAGCGTACACAGACTGAGCAGTAGCTAGTAAGGATTGGGCGGACAAACTCTTTTCCTTGCTCTTCTATAGCTGGGTCTGGGATCTGCCTGTAAGTGAGATCCAAAGACATCAGTCAAACCATCAAATAGATTAACACACATAAAAAAGAAAAAAACACAACAGAAAAAGGTTCAAAATATGGGATGTGTGAACACAGCTAGCAATGCTGCTCCTCACAATTTCTCACACAGAAAATTAGAAAAGTGATGGCTGAAAAAGACCATCCATTGAGCCTGTCCCTTTTTTAACACATTTGGTTGTTTTTTTCATTCAGTTGTATGTTTTTTTACCCCTTTGTCAGTATATACAGACCTATGTTTACGCCAAGCATGTTTAAATTTGCTTACAGTTGACTGATTTACTACCTCTGCTGGAAGTCTGTTCTAAACATCCACTATTCAGTAAAATAATACTTTCTAAGGTTAGATTTGTACTTTTCTCCTGCTAGTCTGAGGCCAGGTAACCGTGTTTTTGATCTCAACTTCATATTGAAAATACTTGCCCTTCTGGACCCTATTCACATCCTTAATGTATTCACATGTTTGAATCTGCAGCTCTGGCCAACACTGTACCTCCAATATTGTACTATGAGAGAGATCCTTTTTCTTAACGGTGCATTATTTTGGATTTAGAAACACTGAACTGAAGTTTCCACTGCTTTGACCATTTTCCAGCAATACTAAATAATGTTTCATGCTGCAAACACCTCAGGTAATACAACTTCAAAACTTTGTGTCATCAGCAAACAGGAATAACTTACCCACCAAACCTTCAAGAATATCACAAACACTTTAAACAGAACAGGACCTAGTACAGAGCCTCGTGCTACACCACTACTGAGTGGCCTCTATTCTCAATGAACCTCATTTACAACCACACTCTGATATTTGTCCTTTAGCTAGCTGCTGGTACTTTACACCGGAATACCTAGTAGTTTAATCCTTGCTTGCACAACTTTTTTTTTTTTTTTATAAGATCATTATGTGGAACCGTATTGAGTGCTTTGCTGAAATCAAGCTAGGCTATGTCCACATCTCCACCTGGGTCCAAAACATTGGTGACGTGGTCTGAAAAAAAGTGTAAATGTAAAAGCACCATAAAAAACAACAACTTTAAAGTCCTCCATCCCCATGAACATGCACACACTAACGCAAACATGCTTTGTGTGCGCCTATGTTCAAAAACAACTATTGCGCCACACGTAAAGTGTTGTCGCGTGTACCAGAGTGAGAACAATAATTCTAGGGCAAATATTCAGGGTTATCTCAGTCCCGAGGTAAGAAAAGCACCACTGTAAGTTTTCCCTGCCACATCACCATGACAATCATATATGGAAATAGTAGAGGTGCACCGAAATGGAAATGTTAAAACCGAAACGAAACCAAAATAAAACAAAATTGTCAGGCTGAAACCGAAAATGGTTTTTATTTAAATTTTTTCAAATATTTTATTTTATTTATTTTATAAACTTTTTAATTTTTTATATTTATTTGTATTTATTAATTTATTACTTTTAGGAGCTTTGGGGAAATATTAGGGGTCTAAACAGACCCCTGATATTTCCCTTTTAAAATAGAAAAAGAGATTGAGGACACAAAGTCCTCAATCTCTTTTTCTGTATCCCCTGTTATCAATGAACAGGAATCCTCTATACTGAGTGTTCCTGTTCATTGATAACATGAGGACATGGTATGTTTACTATACCTACAACTATGAATGAACAGGAGGTGACTCCCACACTCCGCTCTACCGGACTGTGATAGGAGGCTGAGCGGTGTGGGAGGATGCGCCGATGTATCGGCAGGAAAATGGCACTTTCGGCGTTTAGCCAAAACTGCCATTTTCGCCCGATATATCTGTGCATCCCTAATAAATAGTATTTCACCTTCAAGCTTATCATTACTACATATCTACTAAGATTTACAGCACAAATCCATTACCAACTCACTGGTACGCATTTCCACCATGATATCAAGATAATAAACTGTAAACTGCATTGTGAAATTAAACCTTTTCCATTAATCAACACCACCTAGGAGTTCAATACCTGTCCCATGCCCACACAGGAAAATGCAATCAATATAGCTGAAATAGCCAGAGACGGGATAGTGGTATCGCTCATTGTCAGGAATATGGGCCTTTCAGAAATCCTTTCTGATACTAAAACTATGAGCATACACTGCTCCTGACTACACCCCCTCCACCCCCCAAATCTAAAATGTTTCATAGTTATATAACCTTTTTAAGTGGGATAGTGTTAGTGTTAGGACTTCTGCTGGTTTCATTGTTTAGTTCTATAACTAAGAATTATACATCATGCAGTACTGACTGCAATTAGTTAGCATTGTGCTGTAGTGACCAAGAGGTGGCACTGTTACTACATCCGGGCCTGTTGTAATCGGCAATGTCTTAATTCCAAATATCACGCCACTACATGAGAACACACACCACCAAAAAAATTACTGATATTTTTCCCAAAAAGTTTTGACTGTAAGTTAATTAATCTGAACTTCAGCAACAACATCACTAATTGCTAAAAAGAAGCTTCATCCACATCACCTTTGGTTTATTGACTGCATATAACATTAAAAGCTTTTGTGCAAACTAGTTATATCCAGGACAAACCAAATAGTTTACAGAAAGATACACTTTTGCTCTGTGTTGTGGTAACAAAGTATGTGCGTTAGTGCAGTGCAGTGCCATTCTTTTTGAATGGCTCCCCAATGCACTTAGGCAATGCCGCTCCGACGCACATGCAGGGCAAGGCCCCAAATGCATAGTGACAAACTACTCATGCCCTGCGGCTGGGACAATGCTGCATGCCTGTTTTTCCTGTGTGTTGGTAGCCCAAATGAATGGACTACCCTGGTGCAATGGACGTTAAAAAAGACTAAAGCCGAACCTTGATTGGATCTAGTCCTCTTTTGGGTCACGGGAGTACATTTACTAATGTACAGTACCCCTGTGACCCAAAGTCTACTATTTGCTGACAGCACAGAGCCATGCTGCAGCTAGGAAAGATCTCAACAATATTTGCAGGATCAACACCGCTGCCTGATTGAAAGCTGGCACTGCCTCTTTAGAGCCAGAGACATCTGTGCCCACCCCCTTTCCTGTTTGTTTCTCTAATGAGCACTGGAGGAACAGG